ACAGCCACTCAGAACTAGCAGTAATCAGCTAGCCGCCATGCTATCAGGAAGTTTTCATTCAGTAACTCTGGATTGTTTATTGTAATGGATCCTGTTTTTGCCTTTGAATGTTAAGTTTTGTTTAGTTTTCTTCTTGAAAAAAAGTTATTTAAAAACAAGTTTTTGTCTAAATTAAGGTAAAGTCATGGTTCCTTTTTCCACATAATGTAACCGGTAGTGTTTATGATAAAAAATAAATAATAATAATTATGTGATCGGTATTGGTGATCGGTATCGGTATCGGCAGGAAAAAACCTGATCGGCACATCTCTAACATTTACCCATCAAGCTGGAGCAGAGTCACAAAACAATGTAGTTGTTTATCAATAAACAGTTAAAATAAAAATAATATCACCAAACATACCACAAACGTTCTCAGAGTGGAATTACATTCAGAAACAGGTTGCACCGGGCCAGCAGGGAGGGGCTACGTGGTGGGACAGACCGATCTGTAGACGGGGGCAGGAGGGACCCCTGCTGGTCGAGACTGCAGATGGTTTTATGTCAACACCCAGTGTGACATAAAACACAGACAATAATAATATTTTTATTGTCTGTAATAATTTTACAGACCAGAAAATGTTCACAAAGGAATCACAACCCAGATATAGAGATTAATTTAAAACGAGGTAAACTCGATCAATAGTAAAATGGTTTGATCAACATCTGATCAGATGTTTCAGTCAATAGAATTCAACCATAAATCATTGATTCAGTGAATCTTTCAATATTAGTTAATTGGCTGGAGTTAGATTATTGATTGATGATTGATCCACCGCCTAAAATCGACTTTTTTGATCAGATTTCAACGTCTCCTGCTCTCTGGTGTAGTCATTGCTGAAAATGACAGATAATCACAGATCTGTGAACCTTCTTCTTTCACTACAACATCTGACCTCTGACCTCTGGTCCAGTTCCTGCTTTGGTCCGGTTTGTTTGTGTTGATGTGAACACAGCAATCGCTCTGCGGTGCGGATGAGAACGACCCAGACCGTTTGGTCTCTGTAATCCAGATTATCCCCAGTAATCTGGCTGTCAGGAATTATTGGGATCCATCTGGACCTGATCTTTGGGTTTCAGTCCAACCCAACCATGTTTTCCTGCAGAGCCACCACCAGCAGGGGGAGCTCTGGGGAAACATGGAGGACTGGACAGTCCACCTGACAGCTGAAGCTTGAAGCAGAAATGACCATTTGGTTTTAATGAGGTTGCTTCACTTCGTGTTCCTCCTGCTTTTCTCTGGAGGACAGTTTGGGTTGATGAAGTTCAGGCCCCTTCTGCAGTCGGTTTCCGTCGCAAGAAGTACATCAGATCCCTCCCCAGTCAGGGCTCATTATGCCTCAGACTCTGCAAAAACCTTCTGAGGTCGGCATTTCCAGCTGCAGATGGACAGAGGTTGGCGGCTCCACAGTGTTAACGTTTGGCCTGAATAAGCGGAGACCTCCAGCTGGCACTGGACGGCTTTGACGCCCTGAGGAGAGGAAATGATGAGCAACGCCTCCGTCTCCAGACAGCAGAGTGACGTTTCTCTGGATGGGAATGGACCCAGAGGTAGTTTGGTCACCTGGTAAGGACGCTGCCTGGACACTTTCCTCTCCACCAGAGACTAAAGACGCAAGAGACTCGATACTTGACTTGGACTTGTGATCTGAGACTCGAGTCTTAGCGCCAATTTTTATAACGTAATGAAGAATGACGACACACAGTATTAGTGGAAGCTAACGCTAAGCGCTGTATAACATGGTATGTAGTAGATGCTAACGCTAAGCGCTGTATAACATGGTATGTAGTAGATGCTAACGCTAAGCGCTGTGTAACATGGTATGTAGTAGATGCTAACGCTAAGCGCTGTATAACATGGTATGTAGTAGATGCTAACGCTAAGCGCTATGCTAACAGGGAGCCCTGAGATGTAGCAGGTGTGCGTTCTGTCTGTCATACCTCGTAAATCCAGTGAAACCGGATCCTTTCTGCGTTGTGCTGGTTGAGGGATCAGGCCGTGACACGGTTCGTCTTTAAAATGTGTGATTTCTCGATTTATTCTGACGAGAACTGACGAGAATAACAAAGATAAAACAACCGTGTTAAAGGATGCCCGCTCCAAGTCCTACGCAAAACAAAGGAACATAACAAAAATTAACTTAATAGATCTATAAATAAACTGAATGTATTTAGATGGAAAATAAACAGCACACACTCTCCCTCAGAACAACATGACAAAAGGGGAGGGGCTAAAGGGCGCAAACAATTTAAAGACAATACCACAGAAGAAGAAATAAAAAGGAGGGGCTTCCAATCTTAAAGTAACAGGTTAAAACAATGACAGTTATTTCAGACAGGTAAGGAGCAATACAAATATCCAAAAAAAAGACATTTTGTGTAATTATAACATAAGAGAAATACAACCAGGTTACACCAGCGTACCTCGTGGTAATGCCCACATCGATGTTACATTTCTTATAAATCCATCATACCTGTAGAAGTTTAATTTTGTGTGTTTTATTTATCGGAAGTTTACGGTAAATAAAAACATAAAATAAGAAAAATTCAGTTATTTCTACGCAGCGTCCAGAAAGAGGTGATGTTCTGCTTGTTGCCCAACAGCTTCGGCCAGCATCCAGTTATTCATGAGCTTTTTTAGGACATATTCCTGCAGTTTTCTAAAGAAATATTGAAATATTAAAAAGGTAGATTAGCTATAAGCACAAAATATCCCGACCAAATTTGTAGTCAAACAGTATTTGTAGTAATAGTGACGCTAAATGGGACTAATGTCTTGTTTACAGTTTGGTAACGATTTTGGAAACAGCAAAAGTCATTTATGTTAATATGTGTGATTAACATAGCAGCTTAATTAAATAAAAATTTCCCATAAACGCCTGAGAAACATAACACACAGGTATGACGGACCGATAAGAAATCTGCTGAGTAAGCAGTATGTGACGTAACATCGATGTGAGCATCACCATAAGGTTTGCTGGACTTACACAGACAGAACACCTGTTTTCCAGATGGAGCCCTTCAAACGATGCGCACATAAGATTTGTTCCAGGTCATAACTGAAACTTATTTTAGCGTTTAATGAAGCGATTTGTCTCCTCTGGTCAGATCACCACCATGGAGACCAGCCTGAAGTCCATGGAGGAGGAGAACAAGGCCATGGAGCAGCAGAACGACTCGCTGCTGCACGAGCTGGCCAACCTGAGCCAGTCGCTCATCCACAGCCTGGCCAACATCCAGCTGCCCCACATGGTGAGGCCCGGACCGGAACCCGACCCAGACCTGACCCGGACCAGAACCTGACCAGAACCCTGCAGATGGATCTGTCAGTGAGCCTGCTGGCCCGGCTGAGCTCCAGCTTCAGAACCTCATGTTTCTGTTGCTCAGGCAAAATTAAACTCTCTGTCCTCTCCTTTTATTTTGAAAGTATAAACTAAGGATGTTTTCACACTGTGTTTGAGGCAACTTCACTTCCTTCCTGCTCAGGTTGAAACCTGCTGAGCAGAAATGTTTACAGAACCTTAACTCAGGGTTCCTCCAGGTTCCTCCGGGTTCCTCCAGGTTCCTCCAGGTTCCCAGGTTCCTCCTGGTTCCTCCTGGTTCCTCCAGGTTCCCAGGTTCCTCCAGGTTCCTCCGGGTTCCTCCAGGTTCCTCCGGGTTCCTCCAGGTTCCTCCAGGTTCCCAGGTTCCTCCGGGTTCCTCCAGGTTCCTCCGGGTTCCTCCAGGTTCCTCCAGGTTCCTGCTGACATGTTTAGTGTTTGTCATGAAGTAAATCCAGCAGTTTTTCCTCATCTGCTTCTTTCTGCTCATGCCACTTGTCAGAACCAGCGGCGCCGGCCGCCATGTTGTTGGTCTGATGTCATGTCGTCTCAGTGTTGGAGGGAGACTCAGGCTAATTGGATAATCTCTGGAAACAGGAAGTTGTCAGAAAGCTTTGAGCAGCTTCCTGTGAGGAAACCTCCACCTTAACGAGGAGTTCATGATCCGGTGTGATCCGGTGAGCTGGGATCTGTTGAGGGGAAGTTCCCAACTCGTTAAGGTGGACGTTGCTGAGCTCCTGACCGAAGCTAATGGATTCTCTGTCCTCCTGTAGAGGGCGCTGCTACACAGAGAGACCCCAGTAAAGCTTAGCTGCACTTTACAGATGCGTCCCAGAGTAAGACTTCATCCTTTATCCAATTATCCTCCTCTTCTTCATCATCACTTCATGACTCTCCACCTTCACCGCTTCATCCACAAAATGAGTCAAACCAGGCAGGAAGCACGGAGGTGGAGGGCTGATGACCTGGGAATACTGGTGGCAGACAGAAACCAGTTTATCCTCTGGAAAATGAACCACAGCGTTTGTTTCTAAATGGATCCACAACTAGTTAAAGATGCTAGCCTAATTGTGTTTTCATTTCCCATTAAACTAAAGGTCAACATTTTTCACCTCGACAATGCATGCTGGGCTGGCAAAACACAAAACGTCTGGATGGAAACAAACGCCTCAAAGTTTTTACGCCCCGTTAACCACAAGAGATCAGCTGAAACAAGCTAACAGGAGCTACTGTTCATTATACTAGCAGGTGCTAACGTCACTAGGAGGAGCTAATGCCACTAGCAGGTGCTAACGCCACTAGCAGGAGCTAATGCCACTAGCAGGCACCAACACCACTAGCAGGAGCTAACATATTTGGCTAGAGCTAACAGGAAATCGGAACAAACTGGAACGTAAAGAACAGATGATTAAAATGACATTGATTCTTCTTCCAGTCTTTGTAACAGTTTTAATATATCAGAGAAAATGTTCTGATTGGTTCTGATGAATCTGGACCTAAAGGTTCTGATAGAACACATCTCTCCCCATCTTAGCAGTGATATTTTCCATTCCACTATCAGAACGGCCATATTGGATTCTGAACGCGGTCAGCTCCTACTGGGATTCACCAGTTTGGGTTTTTTCTAAGCCAGACGGTTCTGATCCATTTAAATCTCCTACAGCTGAAGGCAAACCCATCCTGGTTTCTCCAGAACCTTGTTTGGGTTTTGGTTCTGGATGCAACTGAAAGCTTCACTTCCTGTCGTGTCTCCCCATTCTGTCCATGAACTTCCTGTTTGGCCTCCATGACTGTGTCCATCCATCCTGAGTTCTGCATGCTCCCGGTCGGTTCTGGTTCTGCTGGTACATGTACAGCAATCGGGACCGAAACACTGATCTGGGCTTTTCCTGACGCCGTTCCTGCTCTTCCTGCTGTGTCCGCCTGCGCTGACTGCCGGGTTTGTTCTGCTCCACAGGAACCGATGAACGAACAGAACTTTGACTCGTACGTCAGCACTCTGACTGACATGTACACCCACCAGGACCGGTACCAGAGCCCGGAGAACAAGGCGCTGCTGGAGAACATCCGCCAGGCCGTCCAGGGGATCCAGGTCTGACCGGAGCAGGAAGCCGGTTCCGGAGGATCTGGACCCGGTTCCGCTCCTGTTTCTATCCTCATCAGTGTCTGGTTCTGTTCTCTTGGTTGGTGTTGCTTTGCTTTGGACTCAGACGTATCTCGGTCCGACCCGGTCCGATGTGGCGTCCCGCTCATGGCTGCTCATCCTTCTTTAACATTGTTTACACCAAGACAAACTGGGCTGTACTGGTCAGACTGGGAGCCTGAACGTCTGGAATCAGACTCTGACGTTCCGGAAATCCTTCTGAACTTCTGCTGCAGATCCCATCATCCCATTGGGCCGCCTCCTTTCAGGCTTTTATTTTGAAATGCAAACGGCTGCAGGAAATGTAGGAGACAATCTGCCACCTGACTGGACAGTGGAGACCAGTGGAGACTTCCCAGTGGAGACCAGTGGGAGGAACTGAGTGGGAATATGCAATTTCTTATGAATCAAGGAGCAACGAGCTGAAAGCTGTTTTTACTGACGATTGATGTTTGTATGAATCTTTTCCTACATGGTGTTTTAGAGCCGCCTCTGTTCCATGTTTAGGTGTTTTATTCTGAGCTTCTGTGGATCTACAGGGTCAAAAGTCCTCCAGAACCGGTCCGATGGAGGCTTTGGGTCAGAACCGATGGGACATTTCCTCATCACACCTCATCATGCATGCACTTTATGGAAGCACGTTCCAGTATCGCCGCGCCATTGGTCCAGTTCATCCCTGAAAGGAAAACTCCGCCTCTCGCCTCCTTTTATGGTCGGTACCAGGTGAACCCTGACCTCCAGGGTCGCTGGCTGAGGTTCTGCTGCTCAGCCCGGCCGGGTCCAGGAGGAACCTATAGCTCCACCTGATGGGAGCCGTTTGAAACGTCACAAACTGGCAGCAACAACTTCAGGTTATTTAGTTTTTACAGGAAAGGAATGGACTTCAGCTTCAAAGTCACATTTTCACCCACATTCAGAAATGTCGAGTAAAAACTTGTTAAATATTTAGCTGGAAATTTGTTGCTAACTAAATGTTTAGCTTCAAGCTATATATTTAGCTCACGAACTAAATACCTCATTAACTGTTGAGTTTGAAGCTAAATATTTAGCTGTTAGCTAAATGTGGCGAAATGTTTGGTTTGAAATTGTGATGTTAATAGATGAATAACTCGGTGAAAATATAAATTTAAAAGATAAAAACATCTTTTTCTGCTACGACTGACTAAATAATCCAAATTATTGCTGTTCATTTTTCCGAACGGCCGCCTTTGTTCACGGCTTTTCTGGAAGAGAACCCAGAAGTAGATCTCAGCTCAGTTCTATATAATCCGATCGGTTTTATGAGAAGAACAATAATCCATGCTTGGGATTTCTTGGATGCGTTTCCAGGATTAAACGTTTCCAGCTGAAGGGACCTCGGCTGGGATTATCATTCCCGTCTCTGCCTAAAAACAGGAAGCGGTGTCATTCCCAGTAAGCCTGGGTCGGATTCGTCCGTCCCTCCTCATCTGGGATCGCTGGGCCTCCGGCTACAGGAGGAGTTTTCCTGAAGGAAACGGATCTGCGGCTTCCTGCTTTGGTTTTCCTGCAGAACGGAGGAGTTAAAGCACAATTTAAAGATGTGAACACGCCTGAATGAAGAACCTCACCTGAAATAATCTTTTTATATCTTTGATTTCTTTCTTCATGTCAGACTTCCAGAAGCTTTTTTCCTACCAGACAGCATGACTTCCTGCTGACACCTTCAAGGTCACCAGGTTCCGTTTCTGTTGAATTGTGGAGTTTGTACAGTTTCTATCATGTTGGTGTTGCCATCTGTTGCTCTGAATAAATCCTGTGTTGCAACACCTGCAAAGAGCCTTTGTTGACCTTCATGAACAGCTGCAGGTTCTCCTTCCACATGACTTTACTGCAGGTGATTGAAGGTTTAATGTTTTTGTCCCACATGAAGAAGTTTCTGCTCTGGGATCTGAATCATCACAGGTTCATCGTGTCAACTGTAAGTCAGAAGGTCCAAAGTTGGTCATTTTATTAGGTACGCCTTGCTGGTACCAGGTTGGACCCGTTTACCTCCAAAGCCACTTTACACCATGTAGATGGAAGGTGTCTGAAACGTTCCTGAGACGTTTGGAGTCTGACAGCATCAGGCAGTTGGATCTTCATCACAATAACAGTCTTCAGTCAGAGGGGTTTTCAAAGTCACTGAAATACTGACCTCTATAGGAGATCAGTAATCTGAGTAATGTGAGATAAAACATCTAATTTCCCTCTGGGATTAAGATTTTTAATTGAATTATTAAAGAAAACTGAATCAATGTTTTTCATCAAAATATTAGTTTGAGGCTGTTCACACTGGTGCAATAAAACTATTTTATTATTTACACTGGAAATTAGCTTGAAAATAATTCATCACAATCTCGATCTCAATATTTTAAATCTCTGAATTTGGGATTTTAACAAGGATGTGTTTAATTTTGAGAGCTAATATACATTATTGTCACACAATATAGTTTACCTAATGTGTATTATTTAATCCTTTAAAGAATTAAAAAATATTGACCCTTTAGTCCTAGACCAGGGGAGGCCAGCTCCAGGCCTGGAGGGCCGGTCTCCTGCAACTTATAGATGTGTCTCTACTTCAACACACCTGAGTCAAATAAAGAGGTCATTAGTAGGACTCTGGAAAACCTGACTGCACTGAGGAGGTGTTTTCTCCCTGACTCCCCGTTAACATGTACAGCTCACTGGCTTCCAGTTCCTCTCCCAAGATGGCCGACAGGGTGGCGTCAGACAGCCGATGCGGTCTCACATTTGGCTGAAAAAAGCACCATGCTTACCAGAACCAAAGACATAAATACGCATTTATATGTTTATAAATGCGTATTTATGTCTACAACCAGAACTTTGAAGGAGTTGGAGGAACCAAAGACCAACAAGTTGAAGGTGGTGAATTTCCTCCAGGACAGCAGAGGGCGCCAAAAGGCGCCAAGGCACCACTTCCGGGGTGAAAAATCCCCTTCCGGTGGGTAAAAAAACAAACTGGACCGCGGTGACTCCAGCAGAACTTAAGTGGCTAACCGTGGCTGCTGAATGAACAGGCGGTTCAGTTCGGCTCGGTTCGGTTGGTCAGTATGGTGAAGTGTGTGGTCTCCGGCTGTCCGAACCGGGTGGACGGGTCCAATCATGGAGTGTTAAACGGAACCCAGAAACAATTCTTCACGTTCCCGCAAGATCCAACAAGGGTCAAGGTAGGTCCAGTTTCATACCGGTACCGGAATTTGGAAGTTACGGTCCGGTTCGGTCCAGTTAGTGAGTTAGAAAGTCAAAGTTACTGAGGTTGCACAAAGACCTGGAGTGGACCACACTAGAACCGGACCAGTTCCAGCCTAGATTTAGTCCAGGCCAGGAACCGGCCTCCGCTGGGTTTCCCTGGAACCGGTTCATCAGGTCCAGAAGGTCCCGGATGTCCAGATCAGGATAATGGTTCCGCTCTGTTTGGAGTATCAGATGACGTTAAACTGGACTTGGACGAAATGTTCTGTTCGGTTCTCCGGTGCTGTTTTGGTTCTTCACTGGAAAACCACGTGACCTTTGACCTCTGAACCCGGAAAGAACCAATCAGGACTGACCTGACAAAGATCCGTTTAGAGAATGAATCAGTTCCAGAGAGCCGGAGCTGGTTCTGGTTGGGTTCTAAACGAGTCGTTGGGTCCTTCCAGGTGTGGCTGGCGGCGCTGCGGCAGGCGGACCAGCAGAACCAGAACCAGAACCTGATCTGTGAGGACCACTTCCTACCAGAGGACATCTTGTCGGGTGACGTCAGCGCCGACGCCATTCCCATCATGCCTCCCTGCCTGGACGGGCCGCTGGACCCGTTGGACCGGTGGGGAGCCGGGTCGGAGGACGACGAGGACCAGTGGGTCGGAACCGCCGGGCCCGGTGAGGAAGAGGAGGATGAAGCCTGCCTTCCCTTTAACACCAAGATGGCTGCTCCAGAACTTCCTGCTCTGGACCCAACAGAACGGGTCAGAACCTCCAGCTGGACATTTACTGATCCGACCGACCCAGTTCTGCTGGATCAGAACCGGCCCAGTTGGCTCCCAGTAGAATTGATAACTGCTGTTCTGTTCCCACCTGCAGAACCCGGCTCTCAAAGCGGTGCCAGAAGGTCCGATTCTCAGGTAAGCGGTTCTAACCCGGTTCCATAGTGGTTCTGTCAGAAGTTTCCGGGTGGTATTGACTCGTGTCTCCCTACAGCCAGCAGCAGCAGAACGGGCCGATTCGGACCCAGACCCGGGAAGGTTGGTTCCGTCGAGTGGCGGTGGCGTCCGTGCGGTTCTGCGGGTCTCTAACCGGGCCATGTTGTCCCCAGACGTGTCACTGCTGGTTCTGACCCGGCGGTTCCTGGACCTGTTCCTGACGGCGCCGGACGGCTGCCTGGACCTGCGCAGCGCCATCGCTAGCCTCAGGACGCGCCGCCGCCGCGTCTATGACATCACCAACGTGCTGCAGGGCGTCCAGCTCGTCCAGAAGGAGTCTGTCAACCGGATCCGCTGGATGTGAGTGATCCGGTTCCGGGTCTGCCGCTCTCATGTGACGTCACACTTCCAGGAACTTTATAGCTGACAGCCATCTTGGTAGGCGGTTGCTATGGAGTTACTATGACAACACCAAACAAGCCACAGGCTTATAAGCAGCCCTCTCCTCGTTTCTAACTTCTAAACTATTTGAGTTCATTACTTTCCGAGTTCTCCACTGTGGAATACTAAGATAAACATCAGATATTTGCTGCCATTATTTACTATCTTAGCTAATGTAGCTTTTATCTGCTAGCTAAGACAGACCTGTAGCCTAGCTGTTGCTACACGTTCTTACTCTGCCAGTCACCTGAACCTCATTAATCGCCTGCAGAGATCGTTCGTTCTTTATGAATCCATTGAAACTTTGATGGTTTTGCCCGCGGTTTCCAGGTGAAGCTCCTCCATGTTGCACTCTCACTTGCTCACTAGCTAGCTAACTTTATCGTAGCAGCAGATCAGAGGCAGCTTGTCCACATCCCGGCAGCTATTTTCTTTATGCATCTTTCTCCTCATTGGTCCAAAGTGTTGCATATTTTCTGTTGTTCTGGAAGCCGTGTTATGGCTATGCTACGATATGCTCTGCGCTGCCTACCAAGATGGCCGATCACTTCTTGTTTGGGAACTATGAATTAAATCTGGAGTCATTCGGAACCGGTCACATGACTCCGGTGTTCTGTTTATCTGTGCTACCCGTAAATATGTCCTACCTGTGGAAGTTTTGTTTCCTCTGTTTTATTTCATTGCAAATTACAGTAAGGTTTATTTAATTTATTTTATTCCTGGCTTAATTAAGCTGCTGTATCACTTCATGTTTTTAGTTTACATGACAGCAGCTTGCAAATATATTTATAAGCTTTAGTTGTCGTCTGCAATGTCGTTACTGTAAACAATTCATTGTTTGGCGGTTGATCGGGACAAGATACGTTGTTTTGTGGGCTTTTTGTCCCTATACTTTACAATATTTTAGTTTAATTATACCCTTTATTATTAAACTTTGCTAAATACATGTTGGTAGCAATGTGGGATTGAAGCTGTAACAGCCGTGTAATATTAATTGCATCCCATCATTTCAGTGACCTGTGCAGTTCGGTGGACACATTGTGGCTGCTTTTAATAAAGTCTGTCATAAAACGTATTCATGCGCGAAAAAGAGTCGCAGTGATCTGTCACGCCAATGTATTTAAAATAATTTTAACAGGTAGGATATTTTAATAAAAGGATTAGTGCATACATCTATAGCTTTTCATTTTAAACGGGTAGGATATTCAGATGAAGGAAGTGATCTTCTTGTGGTTTCGTCGTAAATTGTTCCGATGCTAAGCTAACCGTAACTGCTAAGCTAACCGTAACTGCTAAGCTAACCGTAACTGCTAAGCTAACCGTAACTGCTAAGCTTCCACTTCACTCAAATAATCCAATATATTTAACATTAACAAACCGCTGTAGTTTGTAAACATGACGGTAGCAGTTTTAGACGGGCAGCACGGACAGACAGACTCAGCCATCTATCTGTGATATGGTAGGAAAACCTGACGAGGTAGCACAGATAGTCAGAACACCGGTCCAAACCCAGAAAAACCCTGTTTCCTTGCTTCCTGTCTGTGAGTGGTTCTGGTCGGTTCTGATGAATCCGGACATTCAGGTCGGACTCAGTTCCTCCTTTCTGAACGAACAGATTCTGAACTGTTTGTTCTGATGGTTCTGTGGGGAATCAGAGGTCCAGTTTGTTTCTGTGTATTTCGGACCTGTAACGCGACCAGAACCTCAGTTTCTCCCAGTATCTCCAGTGAAACCATTATGTTGTGTGCAGAGGAAGCAGCCCCGCCTCCAGCTACCTGGGTCAGAACCGGGCCCAGTCCAACATGGCCGACCTAAAGCTGGTGGAGGAAACTCTGGACTCTCTGATCCGGACCAGCGCCGAGCAGCTCTTCCACCTGACCGACGACCCGCACAACTCCAGATATCCTTCAGTCCGGTCCGGTTCGGAGTTTCTGCTCCTCCTCGACGATACCAGGGAGACCAGGCTGATGGTTTTAACAGGTTCTGGTCGGTTCTGAAGGGTTCTGCTCACTAGTATTGGAAGCCATGAAGTTTAAGTTTAATATTTACTGAAGGAAATTCATCCAGTGAAACATTTTACGGCCGACAGCTGATGTTCGATGCAAAACAGCAAATGATAACATTTCAAAGACAAATGAGGAAAACGTGTTGTGGTGTCGACGCCCTTTGCTGCTGATCAGCATGGGAACCCAATCGGCTCACCTGATGCAAGTCACAAATAAGGACCATGTGATGAACTGCCTCCACATGTGACATGAATTAACCAATGAATGATCAAGTTGGTGCTTTAAAAGCCACCTGGTAGTTTATCTTCTCAACGGTGAAGACAAAGCAGCTGCCTGAGGTCAGATGCCGTTATTGGCCAACACCACACCTCCAGGGCATAAAGCCCCCCCACCCCACCTTCAAAGACCTCACTGTCCGTTTCAACGCTGCGGAACATTAAGAGGTTCTCCAGGCAGGGATCGGTCAGGAACCTGTCTGGACCTGGGGCAAGAGAAGAACTGGACGGTTAACGGGTGGTGGGGAACTCCACATCAAACCTCTAAAGACCTGGAGACCGGCACCGAGGTCTGGGTCCGAGGCCCGGCACCGAGGCCTCGGTGCCGGGCCTCGGACCCCGGCTGCTTTCCTGTTCTGTCTGTACATTAAAACGTTTCTGCTGAAGTGATCGGGTCTGGTTCTGTTGGGCTCAAACTGAAACGTCCTGCTGCTCCATGTTGGTCGTTTAAATATCTGCTAAACATGAAAGGAACCAGTAATGGTGAGCAGGATCCTCGGATCAGAACCGGACCAGAACCCTGCTGGAAGGAGGGGGTATCGGGATCGGTTCTGGACCCGATACCCCCTGGTCTGGTCACACTTTTGGACCTTTAGCAGAACCAAATGTTCTGGTTCTGGTCCAGGTTCAGAACTTGTCCCTCTGCCTTTGGATCAGAACCGGTTCTCCTTGACAGCAGTCCGGTCCAGGCTGGCATACGTGACCCGGCAGGACCTGGTCGAGCTGCAGAACCTCCAGAACCAGACGGTTCTGGTGGTGAAGGCGCCGGAGGAAACTAAGCTGGAGGTTCCGGCTCCCTCTGAGGTGAGCAGAACCACAGACTGGGTCGGGCCGGGTCACAATTAAACTGAGGTTCTGTTCTGATCCAGGACAGCATCCAGATCCACCTGAAGGGCGGGACGGGTCCGATCCGGGTTGTGACCTGCGACGCTGGAACCGCTGGAGAAGCGGGCTTTTCTCCCCTGGAGGAGAGTCGGATCAGAACCTCTGAGCTGCACACAGGTAGCTTCAGAACCGAGCCGGGTCCACCAGAACCTCTGACCTATTGAAGAAACCAGTGAGTTCTGGGTCCAGGTTCTGGTTCTGTTGGTACCTCAGAGGTTTCAGCTGAACCAGAACCGGGTTCTGCTCCGTTTGGACCCGACTGAATAGTTTGGGTCATCAGATACTCCAGAACCTGGTGGTTCTGATGACACCCAGCTGTGATTGACTGACTGGTGATCAGGTGACCCCTGTTCTGGTTCCAGGTCAGCAGAACCGGGTCCAGAGCGCGTAGCTCCAACCGGGCCAGCGGGTGGCACTGCAGGCTGAGAACAGGTGGAACGATCCAACACGGCTTTACAGAGGGACCGGACCGGAACCAGGGACCGGACCGGAACCAGGAGTGAAGTGATACTGGGACCTTTATTATTATTTTTATTTTTTTTATTTCCTGTTTGGTTCTGGTTTTGTTTTGAGCTCAGAACTTTCAGACAGAACCGGGCCGGGATGTTCTGAAATAAAGAGTAAATAAAACCTGGACTGGTTCTGAGTCTCTGACCCGTTGAGCTGCTGCAGCGGTTCTGAAGGCGGATCCCTAAAAGGTTCTGACCTGCTGGACCGGCAGTTCCACAGAACGACAGAACCAAGTCTGGACCTGCAGAGACTGGATCCTGGTTCTGGACCGGGCCTCTGGGTCCAACCCGTCCTGGAGGAATGAAACTGAGCAGAACCAGAACCGACTGGACTTTCAGTCCGTTTATTATGGAATGTTTCTGCTGAGCCATGATTCTGTTCGCGTTGCACATTTCATCATCAAAATACAGCAACACACACTTCCTGTCACATGCTGGTTCTGCCGGTTCCGGCTCGGTCCGAGTCACCTTAAAGGGAAAAGTTCTGCTAAGCTCCGGTTCTTCCATCGCTCTGCTGGCCTCTGATTGGCTGGACGGAGTTTGTTCAGGGTGGGCGGAGCTAAAACACCTCCTCTTCCTCACAGCCGTAATCTGGAAAAGATGGATGCATTGGTCGGTTCTGGTTCTGGTTCTGATGGGTCAGGGAAAGTTGTGGACCGACCTCCAACCAGCCGCAGTGCACTGACGCAGTCTTCCTCTGCCGCCTCCTCCTCTTCCTCTGTCTCCACTGGGGGTGGGGCTTCAGCAGGGGCGGGGCCTGGGACAGCAGCAGGAGGAGCTTCAGGTACGGCCTCTGATGCCGTTTCCGTGACGACTGCTGTTTCCACCTGAAATCGATGAAACAAAATGGAGTCAGGAAGAACTGACTGACTCGGGGTGTCCTGGTCCGGTGATCCGGGGTTTACCTGTGGAGCAGCTTTCTTTTTCCGTGGTGTGGAGGAAATGAGGCGCCGGAACCTGGAACAGGAAGCAGGAAGTTAAGCTCTGATCACCGATCAGGCAATCGATTGCTCGGGTCTGATACCTCTTGGTCATCATGGTGGCGCCGGCAGACAGCTCTGCATTGGCGTCGCCAGCCTTCCTGCGGCGGCGGCTCAGGCGTTTGCGCGGGGCAGCGGCGGCGCCCCCTGGGGGCTCGGAGGCGGGACTTCCTGCTGGCTGGTTCAGGTCTCTCAGGACGTCATAGTTGATCTTACTGGAGATCTTCTTCCTCTCCAGCATCTTCTCGATGGCCTCGCCCGCCGTGGCAGCCTCAATCTGCTCTCGCTTCTTGTATTTCTTCTTCTGCAGATGGGGAAAGGTCAGAGGTCAGAGCAGGCAGCCGGCCCCTGCTATGCAGACTGTTAGACTCTGTTTCCAACCTTCTCCTTGTAGGTGCCCTGCTCCTTCTCCTTGGTGATTCTCTCCTCCTTCTCTGTAAACACAAGCAGCCAATCAGGATCCTCCGTGTTTAATCAGCCAATCAGGATCCTCCGTGTTGACCGGTCCTCACCCTTCTGCTCCTTCAGGTAGTCTGCGTTCTGCTTGGTCCAAAGCTCAGTCTTCACCTCCACCTCCTTCTCATTCAGGATGTACTGTAGCAGACAGCAGCAGCCAATCAGAGGCCGGCGTGATGACAGCCAATCAGCATGCCTCTGACTGGAACCAGGCGCTCACCTTATCGATCTCCTGATCATCGATTCCTTCCAGGTCCAGCTCTCCACTCGGGGATGGATCCTCTGGAAAACAAACCCTCAGTGACATCACAGCGCCCTTTGCTAGATGGTCACGTAACCATGGTGATTTTTCTTTAAAGGTTTTATTGGCTCTAGTGGCCTTTTAGTGAATTGGCAGGAAAGTGGGTAATGAGAGAGAGGGAAAAGGCAAAGGTCACCAGGCCGGGAATCGAACCTGCGATGGCTACGTCCAGGACTTCCATGTGCTTAACCGCTGCGCCACTGCAGCACCTCGTAACCATGGTGATTAATGATTTAACTAGTTACTAGTCTGTAACTATGCTGACTTTATGACCCACTGATGGTTGTTTAGTAAAGGTACTGGTTTTATAATGATGTAATAACTGGTAATTGATGATGTAATAACTGGTAATTGATTATGTATTACCACATGGTGATGGAATAGTTCCTGATTAGTTTGTACCATCTGGGTTCTGGTCCGGTTCTGGTAGATTGAAGGTGTGAAAGCTCTCCTGGAGGCCCAGGCTGGCGTTCCCCAGGATGGAGGCCAGAGAGGCGCCCTGGGCGGGTAGCCCGGCTCCCTCCGTTTCTACTTCCTGTGGCGCCCTGCCCCCCTCCTCCTGGATCACCTGACACAGGAAGTCCTGCGTCAGCCGCTGGGCGGCGGCCTGCAGGTCGGCGTCGTCCCCCTCCTTGTCCTCCGGGTCGGACGGAGAGGACAGGACGTCCTCATCCTCCGGATCTGAAACCAGGGAGAGCAGCGGACTTTATCTAGGGCTCCATCTTGGCTCAGGACAAAGAGGAAACCCTGAGGAACTCCGTTTAAAGCCGCAGTGAGGATGTAAACGACCTTGATGTCGCCTTCGCCCTCAACATGCCTCGTCTAGATCGTCCTTCTGTATCCCACACAGTTTTAATAAAACAGAACCAGAGCGGCTGGAGCCTGAATAACCAATCTGGTTTCTGCTCTCCCACTCATGGATCAGTTCTGGTTCTGGTTGAGTTGTGCTTATGTGTGACCTGGTCTGAACTGAACCTGCTGTGGTTCTGGACGGACCCATTTCCTTGGCGTAGGCGGCGTAGATCCCCCTGAGTTTGGGCCGGCTCTTTTCCAGCTCTGTCTCGATCTCCTCCTTGTAGCAGCTGATTTCTCCTGGTGGAACCAAAGCAGACGGAGTTGGATCACTGGCTGCTCCCACTCAACCCGGTTCAGCTTTCCTGAAGATTCCCGGCCTGACCTTCGACCTCATCCAGCTTCCGGGCCAGCTCCTGCTCCAGCTGCAGAGGAGGATGTTAAATCCACTTCAATATTTGATCTGAATCTATCTGTGATCAACTGGTCTCCCCTGGCTAACCAAGAGGACAACAAAGACTGAACAGGTCCAAACTGAGCATGCTCAGAAACACCCGACTGCAAAAACATTCATCGCTTTAATGCCCCTGGCCAATCAGAGGCCAGGAGATCTACCTGCTGCATCTTGACTTTGTGCTGGCCGGCAGTGAAGGACGGCGGATCACATTCCTGCTCCAGATCCACCCGCATGAACTCATCGATGGTCAGCTGACTGGTGGGCGTGTCCTCAAACTCTGTTAGCCTGCAGGGACAGAAGGAGGGATCTGATGGGATCCACTGACCAACACTGTCACATTTTTAATAACTCCATTCAGAAAGGAAGCGCTAGCTAAAGGTGGGATTTACTGACTGGGATCCAATAGGATCAACTGACTGCTACATGGATCTAGAATCCACTGGCATCTTCTTATATCTCCATCCATCCATCTTCTTCCTTTTATCCGGGGTCGCGGGGTCAGCAGCCCAGGTCGGGAGGCCCAGACTTCCCTCTCCCAGCCTCTGTTCCAGCTCCTCTGGGGGAATCCCGAGGCGTTCCCAGCCGAGGATCATCGTCCCTCCAGCGTGTCCTGGGTCTTCCCCTCCTCTCAGTGGGACATGATCTCCTCACCAGGGAGGCGTCCATCCTGACCTGATGCCTGAGCCTCAACTGGCTCCTCTCGACGTGGAGGAGCAGCGGCTCTGCTCAGAGTCCCTCCTGGACGACCGAGCTTCTCTCTCTAGAGCCCAGACACCCGTTTCGGCCGCTTGTATCCGTGACCTCGTTCCGTCGGTCACGACCCAAAACTCATGACCATAGATGAGGGTGGGAACGTAGATGACTGGTAAATCATCAGATCTACTGAGTGGGATCTTATGGAGCGTATTGTGATCTCCTGGTTGGGACCGATCCTGTGATCCTGGTGGATCCAGACGGATCCACCAGGATCTAGAGACTGAACTAGTGGTAATGTTCTCATATCTTTAATGTTAGCTTGGAATCATAAGAACCTATTAGGATCCACTGACCTCTGGCAGTAGATCCCTGTGATATCATTGGATCCCTAGGAGTCTGGTTAAAAATGATCTTTATCTACAGGGATCCATTCTGCAGGGATCCACTGGGATCTCACTCACCTCTTCCTCAGAGTGGTCTGGCACACCTTCACCACGCCGATCACGTCCTTCACCGAGCGCCGAAACTTGTGCATCCGAGCCGCTACCAGGAGAGCTGGGGGGGGGACCGTCATGAGCCACATGAATGTTGCTGTTGCCATGGTGACAACCTTACCTGCTCCACAGAGCCCAGACGGTCGGCGACCCGTGTGCATCCAGTCCCTCTTCATCCTCTGCACCAGGCGGAGCGCCGTCATGGAAACCTCGTGGTTCTTGTCTCCAAACTCCAGCATGTGAGCGAAGCGAGGGATGTACAGGCACGGGTCTGAGGGGGCAGGGTCAGTCACTGCAGGTATTGATGCTGCAGCAGGTACCTGAATACCCGACCACAACCTCACTTGGCTCAAATGTTTCCAGATCTGACAAATTCAAGATGGCCGCCATAGAAAATTTATTTGTGCAACAAATTTGCCAATATTTATCACAGATGATGAAACTATATGACTATGCTGGATAAGGTTATAGAAATCATATTTACTGATATTTTTCAAGATGGCCGCCATGAATCAATTTCTGCGTTAAAATCACTAAAATGAGTTTGGTGTGAAATTACAGCCTGAATTTTTTCAGCATTAGAAATTCTTTGTCTTTTCTGACCCAAAGGATCAGAACCAGAACCTCATCCACTTCACTCACATTCTGAACTACAAACCTGATCATAAACCACTTATGGGTCAGAACCAGAACCGTTACTCTCCCTGCAGGCTCATGGCTCCCCCTGCTGGAGAAGCACAGGAAAACGAGCTGGACCCAAGATGGCGGCGGGAGGCGGACAGCAGCGCGAGGACAGGTTTTAATCCGGACTGAACCGAGGCGGGTCCAAAAGGTAACACACACAGATGAAATGTGCACGAAACGGACGGGTTCGGTGCGCTTAGTGAGCCGCTGCTAACTGACCACAGACCCGAGCAGCAGAACCGGACCACAAGCTGGTTCTGGAGTCAGAACCGCACCGTTTTGGTTCTGCTCTGCAACCGGACCGGGTGTCTGGTGGGCCCGTCAGTTCGGGATAAAACGGAAAGGTGCTGCGAGGTTCCGATAAAAGATGACAGCCGAACCCAAACTGGATCTCCAGGTCTGATCAATAACCAGTGATTCCAGGATCTGCTGTTTGGATTGACCTGCAGAACCTCCAGGCTCGGTTCTCCAGAATCTTCCGTCTGTCCCGTCCAGATTCCCTAAGTAGTCCCACCAGGGCCGGCCGAAGGCATATGCGAGTTAAGCAGCTTTTAGGGGCCCCAAGAAAACCTTATTTAAAATAACACTGAATAAATCCTGATGCTGAAAAATAAAACATTCACTTGTTTACTGTGAATTTTAAGTTAAAATGACATTTAGAAACCAGAGGGACCAAACTGGGACCAGCAGAACCAACCGGACCGGACTGGTTTAGGCTCCTTTGTGCTCCCAGCTGTTTGGATAATCTGAATTATAATCCCTCTGACCTAGACAGGAAGCGGCCATGTTGTGATGGGAGGAAGAGGAGGAGATGGCAGCGGAGCTTTTCTCCACCAGCCTTCCTCACGGCGAGGACGAGGAAGAGGAGGAGGACACAAAGAAGAACTTCGTCCAGCTGAGCGAACCCAAGGAATCCGCCAAGCGGAACGCCATCGGCATCGACGACGATGATGATGATGATGATGAGAGACTCAGCTGGCAGGGAGCCCACCCCACCCTGAGGGAGAGGTAAACAACAACATGGCGGTGTGGGCGGGGCTTCACCACTTCCTGTGCTGAAGACAAACATCACATTCCACCATGTTTCAGTTTATTTAAGTTCTGGTCCCAGTTTGGACCGGTTCAGAACCATATATTACTTTCAATGTGAACCGGGTCCAACCTGGTCAGACAGCACCACTTGAACAGTACCCCCTGCTGGCAGGTGACACGGCGCCCCCTGCTGGCAGGTGACACGGCGCCCCCTGCTGGCAGGTGACACGGCCCTCTCTGCTGGCAAGTGACATGTTGGCAGGTGACACGGCGCCCCCTGCTGGCAAGTGACATGTTGGCAGGTAACACATTGGCAGGTGACATGGCGCCCCTGCTGGCAAGTGACATGTTGGCAGGTGACATGGCACCCCCTGCTGACAGGTGACACGGCGCCCCCTGCGGGCAAGTGACATGTTGGCAGGTGACACGGCACCCCCTGCTGACAGGTGACACGGCGCCCCCTGCGGGCAAGTGACATGTTGGCAGGTGACACGGTGCCCCCTGCTGACAGGTGACACGGCGCCCCCTGCGGGCAAGTGACATGTTGGCAGGTGACACGGTGCCC